CACTGAAAAAGCTGGTCAGGACAGGATTTTGCTTATTCTCTTGAAGACCAAGATTTTTTAAGCTTAATTGAAATATGAATGGGCTTTGAGTCCCTGCTATGAATTAAGTGCAGGGCTATTTTAAATTATACATGTATTTTAAGAAACGGATGCGCTTGGCACCAGTTGTTTTTCTATGTTGCCTTTATATTTTATAAGCCTATAGACCCCCAGATTTCAGGCTTTAGGTTGTTAGGAAAATTGCTAGTGTCCAAGTGAAGGCCACCTAGTTTCTGTCCCCCTCCTCCTTGCTGCCATGGCATTCCTCTCTGGTGATGGGTGTTGGCACTTTCCTGTGATCAGAGTCTGGCACAGCTTCAGAAACCTTCAGTGTGGTGCTGCAGTAATGCCATTCAGATGGGGTTGTATTTAACTCCTGCCAGTTCCTGCAAAAATGTCCAGTCATGTCAAGAGCAGGACCCAGGCAGTCTCAGTGGTACAAGGGTGGCTGTTTTCATGAATACTGAGCTTGAGTACATATTAACTACCTGAACTCATCTGCTCTCAGCTTGCAGTTGAGCCCCTGGTGGCCTTACAGACCTGCAGCCTCACCCTGGTGAGGACAGGGCGCGGTCTTTCCAGGCCTGGGCAAGTGGTGACGGATGGTGACTTGCCAGCTTGGAACCAGGCAGAATCCTCACTTTCAGGGCTTTGACTTGAAGAGTCAGCCAAGAAAGCTTTCATCCCTCTAACTCACTTTAAAAAAGAAAACATGTATAGGATTCTGCCACAGAAGCCTGAAGATTTTATGATGTGGTTATGTTTATCTGATTGTTTATGAAAATTGTTTTCTTCTGTTATAAACTAGTATCAAAGCAAACTAGCTGGTAGTGTGGGTGGGGCGACTATGGAAGGTGGGGTGGGAGTGTGTGGAGTAGCTGTGAAGGGTGGGAGTGCCTTTCAGGGGAAGTAACAGCCCCAGCTGTGGCCTGGCTGCTCGGGGATGGCATTTTTGTTTGCTCAGTATTACTTTTGAGGCTGGCTGTTTCCCAGAATAAGAACTTTAAGTTTTCCCAAATACTCCCCATGCTATTTTTAGCAGTGGATCTATTTTTACTCACAAACGAATAGTTTATTGCCTGGTGAGTTAGTGGGAGGAGGCCCTGAGGGATTTTTGAGTAAGCCAGCAGTGTCATAGGAAGAGAAGTGAATTCATGGTAGGCCAGGTTATTTGTGACTTTTTCTTCGTCATGCTGTGTAATGTGGAAGCAGAGAGAAGGGGAAAGGGAGTGCCCAGGCCTGGGAGTTGGTGTAGCCCAAGGCTGTGGTTAGGATACCAGTCCCGTGGCTGACAAGGAGCCCAGTTCTTAAAGGAAGTGGAGAGCAGGGCCCACCAATTCAAGATTTACAGGATGAAACGAGGTGGGGAGAGGGCAGGAGGAGAGGCAGGGGGCTGTGAGCAGAGGTGGGGGAGCCCTCACAGATGGGGTTGCCACGCGAAGGCTTAGTGCCTTGAGCCGCTGCAGGAGGGCAGCTGACCTGCGGCGGGAGGAGTGTTGAAACCGGCATCCGAGTGGAAGAAAGGTTGAGAGCTATGGTCTAGGTCTCTTCCATCTTGACAATTCTCCGTCTTGCCTTCATGTTCCTAATTGGGAACCATGATTGTAGAGACGCAGTAAATCATCCCCATAGAGTCCCCAGATGATCATGTTGGTTCCGTGTCCGTGTGGTTGGGACCAGCAGGTACTGCTTTCCTTTCTTTCCATTAGGCCACATCGCCCCCCAGTGTCTGCCCCGCTTAGTGCAGGACTAGCCTTCTCTCTGGGTCTCCTGGCTCCAGTCTTTTGGACTTTGAAGTGTTGGGAACTGGGCTGACTAATATTATGAAGGTTATTTACAATAAGTATCGCCAGTCAGCACCGGCTCTGAATCTGTTTTGTTTTCATGGGCCATCTGATTTTCCTTTGACCTATAATTTTTCTCCCATCTGGGAACACTCCCAGTTTTCTTGAGTTATTTGATCAAGTAATAAACCTATCTTCATTCCATAAGTTTCTCTTTGTTAACTGAATTGTAAGCCAGGATGATAAAGAAAATACCATATTTAAATGTATCCAGTTGGGTCCTGGCTGGGTTCTGGGAACAGTGCTTGCCTGGTGATGTTAGTCACCCTCAGCTGATGCTGACAGTGATTCATTCAGACTGGCAGGCAACCAGGTGATTGTTACATAAACACGAAACCTCCTAGTAAATTATTTTCCTTGTGGAGGTGTCATTAACAATACTGCCCAGTAGCCTTTTCTGGCCGTTTATTCCTGAGGAAGAAAGGGAATGCTACGTGAATTCCTGAAATGCACAGATACACCCACATTTCATGTACATTAACATCAGCCTCCTGCCTTCACCACGCCTTTTATCTGTCAGGAAAAATGGGAGCCTAGGATTTGGGCGCTGCAGTCCTTGGAGGTCATTTGGGCTGACCCCCCTTTTGCTTTTGATGAAAGGTGATTTATGCCAGGTCACACCGCGAGCTCAGGCTAAACTCCAGATGGCCTTAAGTAATGACACTGCCCCTGGTACAAACATCCTATGTGGTATGTAACGTGTCTCAGATGTGCACTGGGGTTCAGTGGTGCGCTGTGGAGAGTTACTTTGTGTAACTTTGCAGCAGTCTAACAAGCAGCTTCATCAGTCAAGGATGGAGTATACAGGGACTCCGGATGGAGACATGAGCATTTCCATGTCAAGTGGCTTAGTCACATGTACTTACTATAAGATCTAGGGGGCTCTCCAAATTCTGTTCTTGCTTCAGGTTATGTTTTATTGACTATTGGCCCCAGAAAAGAGTTATTCTAGACTCTAGAATCTAGAGGATTCAAGCATTCTGAGACTTTAAGAGTATTTGAGACAGAATTTTGATTTATGAGGGTTTCTTTATTAAAAGACCAAATTATCAAACAAGTATCTACAAAGACTATGTTTCTAATAAACAGATGATGATTAAAGGTACTCACTGTTGGAGAAAACTAGTCGGGTTACAGGTCTCCAGCGAGTTGAAGGGAGCATGGATGTGGGTGAGTAGAGAGAAGACTGGCAGATCACAGAGACCACAGAGCTAAGAGACCCCACTCGGCCAGTGTGAGGAGGAATGGGGAACCTGGCTTGCAGACAGCTGCCCTGGGGGAATGGGCAGGAGGCGGCTTGTAGGCAAAGACAAGGCTGAAGAGAGAAGGGGGTTGGAGTCATTGAGTTGGCAGAGGAGGAGAAAATCCAGGCTAAGGATCATGGCAAAGGAATAGGGGGACTGGGGACAGGGAAATAAATAGATTAGAGAGGGAGCTGGTATTTTTATTTTGTCTGGGCTTTGTTGAAGAGTTGGGCGGTAGTGGATAATTGCTTGTTTCATTTTTTTAAGAACTTGGCACAAGTTTCCAAATTTTACACAAAATGATTACATTTGTTGCTTATGTTCGTTTTTAAAATTTCGGATTCTTCACTGCTCAGTCTTCTCAATCCGTGTTAAGCATGTCTGTTTTTAATATGCTGTTAATAGCTTTCTCCATTGAACTTGGCTTTTCCCCTCCACTGGAGGAGGTTCTGTCCTTATTTGGTTTGATTTACAGTAACACCTTTCTGTTGTTGGTTATTTTATGGTTTCCCAAGTGCTTCTCTTGACCAGCAGGTCATATAATTAAGGAATCGCCCTACTTTATAGACGATACAGGCCAGTTTAGCAACTTACTGGCCTTGCTGAGGCCTAGACCAAGGTTTTTTTACTCCAAGTTTGCATTAGTTTCCTATTGCCGCCCCCCAAAGTCCCACCAGTTGGGTGGCTTACAACAGCAGAAACGTGCAGAGCTGTGCTCCCTCCGAAGCTTTGGGGAAGAACTCTTCCTCGCCTCTGTCCTAGCTCCTGGTTGTCATTGGTGTTCCTGGGCTTGTAGACATAGCACTCCCGTTTCTGCCTCCACCATCACAGGGTGTTCTCTGTGTTTGTTTGCCTCGAAACCTCCTTTTCCTTATAAGGGCAGCAATCATTGGATGTAGGATCCACCCTAATGCAGTATGACTTCATCTTAACTGATTATATCTGCAAAGGCCCTACTTCCAAATAAGGTCACATAACCAGGTACTACAGATTAGGACTTCAACAGAACTTTTTGGGGGACAAAGTTTAACAACAACACAGTCCATTGTTCTTTCTACCAATGACATAGCTTGGAGGTGGCAGCATGGAGAACTAAGTAATGGAAGTTACAGCTTGTGACATGTAACAGCACCAGGTAAAGCAGTTGGTGCTTCCATCCTTGATGGCCAGTCAGGGTTTCCTGTCAGGCAGGTGGAGTGAAGCTCGCTGCGGAGTAGCTCTACTTCCTTTCAGAGCGGAGGCCGGGGCACTTTACTGTCCCTAATGCATCCGCTTTGTCTTAGGGGAGGTAGGGCTGGGTGTCCCAGTGGGATTCCACGGAACCACACGGGCTGAAACTCTGGCCATTAGACTGTGTGGTGTTTGATCTCCTCTGTGAAGCGCTTACCTATTAATATGTCTATGAGGGAGGTTTCATTGCTTCTTTCTATAATATAAAGCTGGGAGTAGAATCTGGAACAGACTTCTAGTCTGTAAGTTTTGAACATTTGACAAAGGAATCGCACGATCTTATTGTCGAGAATATCTTTTGCAGAATAGCTGAACCTTTGGGCTTTTTCACCCACCTTTATGTACCATCCCCTCACAGCCTTCCCATGGTTACCTTCCCCCCATACCTCTGCCAAGGTGAAGGCAACATCTTATAAGGTCTGGATTAGGGATTTCTCAAAACCCTTATGAGTTTCAAGTATTTGTTTCTTTGGTGAGATTACAGTCTTCCTTCAGATAGGATCCGTGTCTGATTGGTTTTCCTCCAGACTGGCTTGTCCATAATCTTGCTTTCGAGAAGGGTTGTTGGTTAGAATGAAGGGAAGGCTTCTCTCCAAGATTTTCGGACTAGGATCTCAGTGTTAATATCTTCGGCATTTTGCAGGTGACGGAGCTCAACGAGCCTCTCTCCAATGAAGATCGAAACCTCCTCTCTGTGGCCTACAAGAATGTGGTTGGCGCCAGGCGATCTTCCTGGAGGGTCATCAGCAGCATCGAGCAGAAGACCATGGCCGACGGGAACGAGAAGAAGCTGGAGAAAGTGAAAGCTTACCGGGAGAAGATCGAGAAGGAGCTGGAAACGGTGTGCAACGACGTCCTGGCCCTGCTGGACAAGTTCCTCATCAAGAACTGCAATGATTTCCAGTACGAGAGCAAGGTGTTCTACCTGAAGATGAAAGGCGACTACTACCGCTACCTGGCAGAGGTGGCTTCCGGGGAGAAGAAAAACAGTGTGGTCGAAGCTTCCGAGGCGGCCTACAAGGAGGCCTTTGAAATCAGCAAAGAGCACATGCAGCCGACGCACCCCATCCGGCTGGGCCTGGCCCTCAACTTCTCCGTGTTCTACTATGAGATCCAGAATGCGCCCGAGCAGGCCTGCCTCTTAGCCAAACAAGCCTTCGATGACGCCATAGCTGAGCTGGACACACTAAACGAGGATTCCTATAAGGACTCCACGCTCATCATGCAGTTGCTGCGAGACAACCTCACCCTCTGGACGAGCGACCAGCAGGATGAAGAAGCAGGAGAAGGCAACTGAAGCGCCTGCAGGTTCCCGCCCTTCCTCCACCCACCGCCCCCCTCATCACTGATTCTTCCTTGCCACAATCACTAAATACCTAGTGCTAAACCTCTCTGTATTGGCAGCACCGCTACTCAGATCTGCTCCCCCGCCCCCTGGGAAGCAGTTTCAGGTCCATCTTCATGGGCATTGCTGGATCGATGGTTGCTTGGAGCCCACGGGAGCTTTCTTTTGAATTGTGTAGACAAGTGCGTTCTGAATGAGGCATTTTACTATGCCTGTTGGTAGTTGTGAAAGCGATGGGGAAGTTTAGAAAGGAGAATTAGCCAAAACCGGCTACAATGATATTTAAATGGTCCATTTAAAATGAGCTGATAGTGTTTTGTTAATAAGCAGTACATCTTGTGCATGCAAAAAAGAATTCATCCCTCCCACCTCTTCTTCCTTCAACTAATGGAAAACTGTTAAGGGAAGCTGATACAAAGAGAACACTCCCTTCTTTCCGTCAGCTTTATATAAACTGTTCACGTGAGGTTTCAGTAGCGCCTTGTTTTGCCTCTTTAAGTTATGATGTGCACAAACCTTAAATGCAGTGCATCTAAAGTTTTGATACCTGTAACTTTGTTTTGGTTGCGATTGTTTAAGAATCATGGATTTATTTTTTGTAACCCTTTGGCTATTGTCCTTGTGTATCCTGACAGCACCACGTGTGTCAGCCCCTGTCAATCAAGATGGGTAATTATTGAAATGCCAGACTTCTAAATTAAATGTTTTGGAATTCAGTGGGTAAATAAATGCTGCTTTGGGGATATCGCTAGGCGTATGGTCTTCATTTCCCCTCCTCAAGGAGCTGTGTAGCAGGTCACCACCTTGAATCTGGTTTGTGTCTCAAACATGAAGCGTTTTTCACACAGTAAGTTCTTTTGCCTGCTCTTTCCATTACACATTTTGTAATATACACACAAGACTCCTGCATTTTAAATAGTTTTCTGTGAGCCCAGCCAACATAGCCTCTCTCTCTTTTTAAAAAAATATATTTTATTGATTTTTTACAGAGAGGAAGGGAGAAGGATAGAGAGTTAGAAACATCGATGAGAGAGAACATCGATCAGCTGCCTCCTGCACACCCCCTATTAGGAATGTGCCCGCAACCAAGGCACATGCCCTTGACCGGAATCGAACCTGGGACCCTTGGGTCCGCAGGCCGACACTCTATCCACTGAGCCAAACTGGTTAGGGCCAACATAGCCTCTCTTATCCGCTCACTCTCCCTGAAAACTGGTGCTTAATGGGAGCCTCTGAAAGGCCAGGCCTGAGTTTAGCTTGGGAGGGAGGGTGTTTGTCCCACCCTGTGGATACTGGTTGGTATTTAAACTCAAGGTACATACTGAGCTTATACATGTCCTCAAAAATTTGTTTTTAAACCTTTTAAAATATATATATTTTTATTGATTTCGGAGAGAGAAACATCAATGATGAGAGAAAATCATTGATCGGCTGCCTCCTGCATGCCCCCCACTGGGGATTGAGCCACAACCTGGGCATGAGCCACAACCTGGGCATGTGCCAGTGACCTCTTGGTGCTTGGGTTGACACTCAGCCGCTGAGCCACAGCAGCTGGCCCTCAAATTTTCTTAATATTATTCTTGTATTAGGTGTCATAAAATGTTAATTAGGGACACAACCTGGATTCCTGAAATAACCTTTACTGATTAATATTAAGAAAGCTTTGAGTAGTCTTTAAGTTGAAAAATGAACCTCCATGTGAGAAAAAGAAAAAGACCTAACCTCTTAAGCATGCTCCCCATTTCTTGCTCCCCAAGACTTGAGGTTCAGCATCACCAGTTGGATTCTTCCTCAGGTGATGACTCCAGCCCCTCACAATTGTTACCACCTCCAGTGCCGTGCCTGGGACCAACAGATTGGTTCAGTTGATTTTAGAGAGAAACATCGCTTGCCTCCCGTGCACACCCTGGCCCCGAAACCTAGGTATGTGCCCTGACCGGGAATCGAACCCCCAACCTCTTAGTGTACAAGATGATGCTCCAACCAACCGAGCCACTGGCCAGGGCTTAACTACTTTATTCTTGACTGAAGCTTGATATTAGCCTGGTGAAACGACCCAATTTCTGTCCTTGAGCTTATATTGTGGTGGCGCACAGAACTTTCAAGCATGGAAGTTTAACCTGTTTTCTCATTTTGAAGAGGAGGAATGACCCACGTGTTAATAAAAACTTAGGAAGCCTGCTTCAAGTTGGCCTAGTTGCAGGCTAAAATGGTTCCTGAGTCTCACTTCAATTAGGTCAGGTATTTTAAAGCTACAAGCTTTGCGTGGCCAAGACACTGGGCTTCGACAAACCTGGACACTAAACGTGTACCCTGGCTGGTGTGGCTGGGTTGGGGCGGCGTCCTGTACACCCAGAGGTGGTGGTTTGATTCCTGCTCAGGGCACATGCGTAGGCTGCAGGTTCGATCCCCTATTGGGACCTCTGTGGGAGGCAAACGACCAGTGTTTCTCACAATGTTTCTCTCTCTCCCTTCTCTCTGAAATCAATAAAAAACACACCAAAAACTGTTCTTACACTGAAGTGCTCCTCAGAGCAGGGGCTGTGGGAAAACTTTCATTTCACGTCTGTCTTGTGAAAGGTTTTGTGCCCACCCTCCAGATGAGGAAGCTGAGGAGCAGAGCTGTGGACCTCTGGGATTCACACAGCTGGGAAGTCAGGACCGCTTCTGCTAAGTCAGAGCTCTCCCTGCCCTCGGCTCCGGCAGGGCCTGCTGCCTGTGCACCAGGCAGCCTTGACAAGCCACACGGCCTTCAAGGCTCCGGTCCCTCATTAAGTTTATTTCCCCAAAGTACAACTGCCATGCCACTGTGCCAAGCAGGGGAAAGGAAATAACATTTGCTGGTTGCCTTCTGTGGGGCCTTACTTAGTTGACAATTCAAAGCTGACCTTCTGTGAAGAAGGTTGTAGCTCCAAGGGAGGGGCTCCGAGAGGAAAAGTGACTTTCCTGTGGTTGCACAACTAGCAAGTGGCAGAGCCCCAAGGCCCTTGTTCTCTGCAAAAACATGTTGCCTGCAGGCTGAGGGTGGAAGCCTGACACGCCAGGTCTTCCTGGATGGGACCTCTTCCTCCTCAACCAGACTTACCTCGCTTGCCTCTTCAGCCAGGCCCCACTCCCTGGCCTTGATTGATATATTGATTTCAGAAAGGAAGGGAGAGGGAAAGATAGAAACATCAATGATGAGAGAATCATTGATCATCTACCTCCTGCACACCCTCTACTGGGGACTGAGCCCCCAACCCGGGCTTGTGCCCAGACCAGGAATGGAACCGTGACCTCCTGGTTCATAGGTCGACGCTCAGCCGCGCCGATTGGGCTGCCTGGTCTTTTTTTGCTGCCCCACTCCCACCACCAGGCATATCCAGGGCCATGTACCCTGATATTTTTCCTCCTCCTATTTCTTGGAGCGCCTTCTACCAGGAGAGGAGGTACCTGTAGGTGCTACAGCTATAGCATGACTCAGAGGGGGACCCATCCGCCACCAGTTGAATTCTTTCCCCGGCTGGACCCAGCTTGTTCAGCCTGCTCTCTCACTTTGGCTCAAGCCATTACTCTTCTCCCTGGAATGGCTTTCTCCTCTTGGCCCACTCAAACCCTCATTGTGAAATCCCACCTTCTCCTGCCCGCTACAGTGTGCCCCTCTCTGGGCTCCTGTGCTGTGGGTCTGTGCCACACCCGACACTTAGCACTTCGTCTTCACTCATTCAACAAACACTATATGGTGGACACTGGGCAGGTGCTAGGGGTACCTTGGTGAGTTACCTGTCCTCCCGGTGCTGACACTCCAGTGGGGGAGCTACACTAAAAATATAAAATAATAAAGTAACTATGAAAATGGCACTTAGGTCCTTTTCCAGGGCCTAGCACACAGCTCACAATAAGACTTTGTTTTTAGAAAAAATTCATGAATGTCCAGTCGTCGTGGTTCAGGGGCTGAACGTTGACCTATGAACCAGGAGGCCACAGCTCGATGCCTGGTCAGGGCACATGCCCGGGTTGCAGGCTTGATCCCGTGTGGGGTGTGCAGGAGGCAACCAATCGATGATTCTCATCATTGGTGTTTCTATTTCTCCCTCTCCCTTCTCTGAAATGAAAAATATATATATTTTAAAAATTCATGAATAATTGATTGACTTGAGGGCAGAATTTTTAAAAAATGCAATGACCAAAGGGAATCCTTTATATTCTCACCCAAGTCTACTACCAATGAGCCATATAAGAGTCTGAGGTTCATGAGGCCTCAGGGTTGGTTGTAACATCATCTCTAAATTGGTGGTGTGACCTTGAGCAAGTTCTGGCCTCTCAGCAGCCCCTAAAAAGGAGGCGAGTGCTTTGGGGGGTCTCTGGTGCCTTTGTTTCTGAGATTCTGTTATTTTCAACTGCTCAGGGATGGTCCTCATCCTCTTCCTGGCCTTTTCCCCCTGCGCTGCCCCCCTCTTCCTTCCGCCCTTCACATTTGTCCCCTCTGCATCCGCCCTCCACCCTCTTCGCTTTCCTGACCACCCCCTAGTTCCACTGAGATGGTTACCATGGCAATCATCTGGAAGTGACATCACTCATCTCCTAGGCAACTGTTTCCAGGGCAGTGACATCATTTGATCACCATGGCAACCATCCAGGAGGACAGTTTTGCAGTGAAATGGGCAATAGAATACTTATGTATTTCTGGGGGCTGGGGGCAATGCATGGAGAATATTTTTAAAAAAACAAAAGCATCTCAGGAGCAAGAAGAAAAAGCTTTGGGCTTAGAGGGGAGACGTGGGAAACCAGCGCGGGGCTGGGAAAGAGCAGGAGCTCCCGGGTGAATCCCCATCCTTCCCTTCCAATAACTAGGCTGACCTATAATATGTCACCAAACTGGGACACTGGAGCGTGAACCAGGGCATCATGATGATGATGCTGGGATGACAGGTGAAAACTGGGCCTTCTTAAGTAAACCAGGGCATGGGACCCCGCCCATAATCAGGGAGGTGCCTCCCTCACTCCCTCGCCTCATAAGCATCGATTCAGCTCTTCCTGCGTGTGGGCACCAGGACACCACAGTGAGCAAAGCCAGCCGGTCCCTGAACTAATGGAGCTCACAGTCGTGTGTGTGCTGGGGCCGAGGGTAATCCCGCAGCCACCCAGTGAACGCTGCGGTGGGGACTGAGAGCGGCGCCCAGAAGGGAAGACGCAGAATGCCAGGGATGTGTTAACAAAAGGACCAGCCTGGTCAGTGGGGCTCACGGATTGAGCATTGAACCTATGAACCAGGAGGTCACGGTTCGATTCCGGGTCTGGGCACATGCCCGGGTTGCGGGCTCTATCCCCAGTGGGGGGCGTGAAGGAGGCAGCCAATCCTTGATTCTCTCTCACATTGATGTTTCTCTCTCTCTCCCCCTCCCTTCCTCTCTGAAATCAATAAAAAATATTTTAAAAAAACCCAAAAACAAAAGTACCAGAAGCAGCCAGGGCAGGAGAAGAGCTAACGAAAGGGTGTGGGATGGAGTCAGGGAGAAGCCTGTTTTGGCAAAGAGAACAGCATGTGCTAAGGGAGTGTGCAGAGTACAGGAGCTCAAACGAGGCCAAGGAGAGAGCAGGAGGGAGCCAGGTGTGCACGAGGGTGGGGAGGGTGTCAGGGACCGGGCCTCACGGGACTTTGGAGGCCAGAGCACTGGGAGGCCCCAGGGAAATGTGTTCAGCAGCGGGAGGCCTGGTCCTGTTTGTACTTTAAAAATCTCCCCCTTGCTGAGGCACGGGCAGAGTGG